CAATGGGTCCAAGGATTTCATCCCGATATCTAATAGCAGTCAAGGTGCCCCACGGCTTCTCCAGACCCTGTCGCATGTGCTCAGGGTGAACCTGCTCTCATCTGTGAAAAGCACGGAGCATAGTGGAGGACTTGCCAATTCTGGTATTCTATGGCAAATGGCAGTTGAAATGCACGGTGTTGGGCAGTGAGCACAGGGTCCACTAGAGGACATCGGACCATCAGGCCACCCTCATGAAGTCTGTTTCTGATTGTTTATCAGTTTGGTTTCAGAGACATTCACACCAGTGGCCTGCAGGAGGTTATTTTGTAGGGCTCTGGCAGTGCTCATCCTGTTCCTCTTTGCACAAAGAAGCAGATACCTGTCCTGCTGATGGGTTAAGGACCTTCTACAGCCCTGTCCAGCTCTCCTAGAGTAACTGCCTGTCTCCTGGAATCTCCTCCATGCCCTTGAGACTGTGCTGGGAGACACAGCAGACGTTCTGGCAGTGGCACGTATTGCTGCGCCATCCTGGAGGACCAGTGCAACCTCTGTAGAGTCCAAGTATCGCCCCATGCTACCAGTAATGACACTGACCTTAGCCAAATGCAAGACTAATGAAAAAACAGTCAAAATAGATGAGGAGGGAAAAATACTGTGTGTGGTAAAATGTATTTTTATGGTTTTTTTTTTGTTTTTTTTTTGCTGCATTTGTAAAAAGTGCTTTTTTCATATTCACGTTGAATTCCATTGAAATATATATATTATTTTTAAATTTTTTTACCCTTATTACCCCCCACCCCCACCTTGTCCCAAAAGTGCAAGGTGTGAGTGGGACATTGCAAAAACTACCACTATATGTAATGCTTGCTTAATTTGTCCAATTTCGCTTGTTTTGTAGGTAAAGAATGACAATAGATTTTGATCACTGAACACTTTAGAGAGGTGGGTGCTTTCTATACAATTAAATAAACCGAAAGCCGTATTTTGCCTGGCAGCCTTTATGAAGCATTAAACAATATTTATAATTGTACATTATTTTGATTAGAAAATGTTAAGTGTGACATTTATATGCCAATTTTATTTTATTTTATTTGAATGATTATTTTTCCACTTAAAGATTTAGGAATTTAAGTTTTAGCATGCTGCATGAGAAAATAGCAACTTCCGTCTTCCCGGAGGACCGGAGATGTAAAAAGTTAAATTTGTTTAGAAACTATTCTTAGTGTTTGGAGATGATGTATTCAATAAAAGTCTGCAGAGTTACAGTTATTTGTGGTTTGACCTTTAAATATAGCCTATATATGATGGGCCACTAAAGATCTGATGTAAGAAATGGTGTTTCCTGAAAGTCCACAAGGGTTAAGAAGATGTTTTCTTTAAAGAAAAAGAAACATATGTACATAAATGCACTAGTTCTTTGACAGATTGTATGCACTTTACCCATTAAAAATGTCTCTAAAAAGGAAACCAATGAGTTGTCCATTTTAAGAGACTCGTCTTTTTTTTCTCTTTCTGAATAGTTACTATTGCTCTCAATAAATACTATCGTATTATTAATCTGATTACTTGTTGGAATAATTGACAGAATACTCGATTACTAAAATAATCCATAGCTGCAGCCCTACTCACCGGTTCAGATGTGGGGTATTTTTGGCACTTGATCAAGCTGATGTTTAGCTTGAAGTATGGGGTTGACAGCACCAGAGGTATGTCTAGGGGGCCGAACAGTGGAAAGATGCAAGTGACTGAGAACCTTCACGGTGAAATCCTTAATTTCAGTGACAAGTGGGGTCCTTAAAAGGAAATAATGTTCTTCACAGAAACTAAGCCCAGATGTGGTTTAGAGGGAGGTGCGAGATTGGTGCTGGGGGGACATTGAGAGAGGTGGCAGATGGGGCCCTGTGGACCATTGACTGTCAGTGTTACCTTCTTGATGTCCGAATTCTTAATGTTGGAATAGTGTCTCTGAATATCTTCTGTGATTGTTGACCTGAATTCTTTTCTAGTACAGAGGCTGTCTGGTAAATTGAAATACTCAATGCTCTCAGTTCAGGATGATATAAAGAAATCCCCTAGAATAGTACAGTACAAGCAAGCCAGCCCCTTACTGTATATAGGCGATACCTGTGCAGGTTTTCATTCCCCTTGCCACCATGGAAGAAGGTGTATGGTTTTGTGGGGCAGTCCCATACCCTGCAGTAGGTGGATCTGGCAGTGGTTTGAGGGGAATTTGGGGCTGCTGGAGCCATGCCGAGAAGCGCATGAGGATTCACACTGTAAGTCAGAGAGAGGACCATGAGCCGTGTTATTGAAGAGTGTCCCTGGGCACATGGGAAATGTGCAGTCTAGCTGGCCGCATGTTAATCTGCAGTAATCTGTAACTGTTTACTATGGTTCAGGCTTGGTATTATGATATTTGGTATTATCTGGATTTCTGTATGAATGTCTGCTGAAATGTAATCTGACCTTCATTTGTCATAATAATAATAAAGACAGCCAAACATTTCATACCACCATATATTCATTGAACAAATGGTTTAAACTGCTAGCCTTTGATTGAAAAGAATGTGTGCCCTTGGACAACTATAGACAGTGTTTAATTGAGTTTATCAGCCAAACATAATGGTAAGAAGGCATCCTTTTCCTTACAAACCCGTTTCCGTTCATGTGTGTTTTAGGGATGTCCTGCTTGACTGCCCTGCTTCAGATCACACAATGGCATTGCAGTGGAGTTCAGGTCAGGACTGTGACTTGGCCTTTCTGAAATATGGAATTTCTTCTGTTTGAGGCACTTTGTTGTTGGTTTACTTTTGTCTTGCTGGATAATGAAACGTGACAATGATCCAGTTCTTGTGAGTTTTACATCAGACAGATGCCCCAGCATTCTGCTGTATTATTTTCTGAATAAAACTTATTTATTTATTGATTCCTGAATGATCAAGGCCCTGAGGCAGCCCTACTCCACCATACTCCATCCACTGTGCTTCAAAGTTGTGATGTTTTGGTGTTGGTATTTTTATTCTATCCAGGCATAACACTGCATACATTGACCAAAAAGTTCAACTTTTTTCCTCCCGTCTACAGAACATTGTTCCAGTAGTGCTGTGACTTTTAGGTGATCACTGATTTACTCACATGAACACTATTCTTCTTCATATTTTCTTTGGTATATTCATGGACACCGGAGTTATCAAGTATAAAACATGTCTGCAGGTCCCCAGCTGTCACCCAGGTCTTCTTTGTCCCTGGTTGGAGTATTTTACAGCATGCCCTAGCCCCGATCTTTACAGGATGCCCACCCCCCTGAGAGACTAGCTGCGGAGCTGAATTTCTTCCATTTGTAAACTGTGTGCCTGTATGTGATATGATGGAGGCCCAACTCTTTAGAAACCCTTTTGTATCCCTTTCCAGTCTTAACATCTTTTTCGGGGGATTTTTTTATTATTAAACTGGATGTTATGAAGAGCAGGTACCCAAATGTCCCCAAAGTGTGGTAAAACCTGAAACCTCCTTACTTTTGGGGAGGATGTCGTGATTAGGATTTTCCTCATAGAGATGAATGAAAGGTGCCCATTTTGATAGGTACACAAACATGTCTTCAGATATGTTCCAGGTTCACTGTGATGCTGTACAGAATATGTGTTTATGGGAAATGAATGGATGGATGCTACCTTGTTTTTTCATACTTTAACGGCAGTTATATTATTACAATATTCCTATTTATTACTGTTATGGTGATGAGGCATGATGCAGGCTGAAATGGGGTGACTATTCACTATCAGTTCTGAAACAAACTATGGTTTATTGACTTAAACAGAACATTGGGGAACAGCACACATTAAAGGGAACATGAGGGGTCAAAAAACAAATGAGGGGGAAAAATAAGAACAAACTAAAGAAATGGCAAAATAACACCACCAGGGCAACACAGGGAGCAAGACTAAGAAACAAACAGAACTCCTAAAACAGTAACATGGGTACAATGACTGACTGAAGGGCAGGACAAAGGCAGGCACCTAAATACAACGCAACGATTAACAAGGGGCAGGTGTGGCTATACAGGACATGGGGCAGTGAGGAGCAAGTGAGGACAATCCAATTAATTAATCAATTGCAGCACAAGAGGTGGAATAAATTACAAGCACAAGAACTAAGGAGCATGGACAAACACTGAGGGTTAACAATAGGGAGGACTAGCAACACAAACATAAGCAGAATAATTAAACCAGACACGAGTAGTATAAACCAAAACAGGGAAGCAAAGGACTAAACACTAGGAAAATGGAAAACCAATAAACAAAACGGGTAAGGCTGGCCTCAAACCCACAATTGCAGGGTTACAGCTTGTGCACTACAGGTTCAAGCCAAGGAACAAGGGCAGACACAGGGGTTAGACAGGGAGTGAAAAGGTGGAATAGCTGGCGGCACCTGCTGGCGAAATAGGGTAGAGTCACGAAGGGAAGGGTCAGACAGGCGCTAACCCTGACAGGACCCCCCCACCAAATGTATGAACACCATGCTGGCTTTATGAGGGTCCCTTTCCCTGCTTTCAATGGGACACCCTCTGACCTATATGGTGTTTCTTTCTTATACAGCTGTTAAAAATGTAGAAACTCAATATGTCTATATCACTAATGCACTATTAGCACACTAATGGTAGGTCAGCGTGGTACCTGTTTTAGGATGGGACATTGGCAACACAACATGCGACAGGTTCTTATGCTGACCCAACACTGAACAGAGCTCTGTGCATTTGAAGGAGAGGGTCTCCCTACTCCACCCGGGAGGCATGGGATTTGGGCAGCTGGTTCAGCTCTGTCGCGGGAAAAACGTGGCTGTCATTTCAGCTTGTAAATTTGCCTTTGGGACAGTGGCACAGAGACTGTCATCATGGAAAGGATGCAAGCAGGCGATTTGGTGTCGTAATTCATGATTTTTGTAAATTGATGAATAAATTTAAAATGACTGTCACGATGATTTGAAAAGTGTTTTCTGTCTACCTGTTTCTGTGTTCACAGTCTGATGTGTGATCCAGGGTGTGGCCCTGTCCAGCAGCAGGGTGCACATGCAGAGTTCATACAGTACCTCCACCCCACCTGGGGAGTCAGTCTTGTGCAGCCCGCTCTATGGGGACCTCTTCTCTCAGGACCGATCACAGTGTGTGGAAGATGACACCCTTGGCTCCATAGATGTCCCTGTGTGCCAGTCCTCCAGCAAAGGCTCTGGTGCAGAGAGCTCCACCACTGTAGGTTAGTCCCACAGACACACTGATAAACTGGACTGAGCACCCTTTGTCAGTCCTGTAGACACATTGATACACACTTCACTGGGCATCTATCTGTCTGTAAACTGGCTATATTAATATATATGTACATTATTCCTTATTCAGCCCATTAGCCATAGACCACTGCCACCCAATCTCAACTTCTTCCTGATGGATGCGACATGATATCGTATATATACCGGTGTACCCCCTTAAGAGTCATCAGCCATACTTTCTATAGACCTCCTATTCAGTTTTTTTACAGAATGAATACAGGAGCCCAATGAAGAAAAGCACTTCTACAGTACAATAAGCTTAATCAGTGTAAATGCAGGCATTTGAGGATTCTATCGTAAAAGGTGTGATTGTCACATCTGAAGAGGGTCTCATTGCAGCAAGGAGGCAGGAAGTTGTTATGGAAAATGTGAAGTGAACCCAAGCCACCCTTGGTTTGCCATCATCATACATGAGATGACGCGTGGCTCCTGGAATGAGGCCTTGTTCTGAGGAGCATATCCACATATGCCCCAGGCCAGCTATTACTGCTCGACACAACTCCCAGTCACACATTCCAGCACTACTGCCACATTTTTTATTTTATTGGGGGGGGGGGGGGGGGATTAAGGCCTAAAAGCAACGTAGCTATTCCGCCATGGACAGGATTTGAACCAGCAATCTTCCAATCACAGGCACAGTGGCTTCACCTGCTGAGCCACAGAAAAGCATTATCATATAGGGCACAAATGACAGAAGGTGGAATATTTTACAAGCTGAAGTACCACATAGATATGCTGGCTTTTTCATTCCTCTACTGACAGATATACTTTGTGTTCTTGTCCCAGACTCCCTGACCCCAGCTTCAAGCCCCTCCTCAGGCATATTTGGGGCAGTCGTGGGACAGGAGAGGCTCCCCTTCACTCCCCTGAGCCTGGAGTGTCAGGTGTGTGCTGACCGTGCTTCGGGGTACCACTATGGGGTACATGCCTGCGAGGGCTGTAAGGTGAGTACGCACACACACAAACACAGATACTTTGAGGTCTTCTAAATGGCTGTTCTGTAAATGAAATGTATTATATCTAACACTGCATCCACAATTCTCAAACAAGCTGAGGAAGGTGATAAGGTCCATTTATATAACATCTTTCACAATCTCAATGTCGCTTTACACAAAAAAAAAAAAAAAAAAAAATCACTAATCTGTACAGGAGGAAGAGACTGAAGAGAAATGTTCTCTTCACTGATACCAGTGAAGTCACTATGGAACCTGTGACCATTGGTTTGTTTCTAAAGCGAAACAAAAATACAATCAGTCCAGCTACAGTGCATGATATCACACTGCAGATCTGTTCTAACGTGGTGTATTAGTACCCAAAGTGATGTATTGGACTATAATACATAATAGCCTATATAATACGTAATCGCATTTATAGTAACACTTTATTAAATGGGGCACAAATAATATAGTATTATGCTATTACTGTACTTAAAGGTTAATTAATCACAAACTACCGCCTTAGTTACATACTAATGTCATGCTATTTAATCAATTAATGAATCAGGACATGTGTTTTATCTCAAGCAGGTACTACACTTCCCGGCCAAAAAAAAAGTCACCATTTGAATTTTTCGTTGGACCGCCTTTAGCTTTGATTATGGCGCACATTTGTCGTACCATTGTTTCGACAAGCTTATGCAACATCTCACCCTTTATTTTCATCCAGATTTGCATTCATTACTCACCGAGATCCTGTATTGACAAGTGAGTTGAACCACTCCATAAAACCTCCTTCAGCACATCCCAAAGACATTCAATGAGGTTAAGGTCACAACGTATGTGTGAAAATGATTCCTCATGCTCCCTGAACCACTCTTTGACAATTTGAACCCAATGAATCTTGGCATTCTTGTTCTGGAATATGCCCTTGCCAACAGGGAGGAAAAAAATCTGTTAATGATGGATGGAGGTGTACCCTGGCCATTTAGTAGATTCAGGTACTCAGCTGACTTTATTTTATTTCTGCATAACATTGCTGAGCTGTAATAATGATCCAGTCATTGACTCTTATAGTACGTATTTACATATTATTTTTTTGGCCGGGCAGTGTATATTTATTACTATATCTGTTAATTCTGTAAATCTTTGAAATTTTTGTACATACAGCATTGCTCTGGTCAGTCTTAGACTCTAAAAATCTAAAAATATTTGATTAAATTATTTACAAACCCACAGCAACCTTTTTTCAATTCACTTACATTTGTTTTTCATAGACTGTCAGTAGCCACGTGGCTCACTTCTCCAGAATCTTGGCAGCCGACAAGTTTGTGAGTTTCTTGTTCGGCAGAAGCAGTTACTAGGCAGTTCTTGTAAGACTTATTAGACCTACAGGAGATGTTTATGATGAATAAACATCTCCCGAATTTATTAAAGTGTTGTTATTTCTTATTTAAAATGCATATAATTACATTGTTGACCACTGGTATCACTGTTTTTATTATTTATTTAATTTTATCTGGTGTAAGTTTGGAGTTACACTCCCCTAACCCAATTTTTCCCATTGGATATGAGTATTCTCAGGAAGGGTATGTGATGTATAAGGCAAATTTTAAGAATGCATTGGTCACGTTGTAGCAGGACTGACTATACATACAGTATATGATGTACAGTGCCCTCCATAATGTTTGGAACAAAGACACGTTTTTCTTGATTTACCCATCTGCTCCACAGTTTAAAATTTCAAATCAAACAATTCAGACATGATTAAAGTGCACATTCCAGACTTTAAGATTACTGGCATGCATTTCAGTTTCACATAGTTCCCCTCATTTCAGGGCACCACAATGTTTGGGATGTTTGGTTTCATAGGTGTTTGTGATTGCTCAGGTGTATTTCATTGCTTCATTGCCTCCAAACTCATTGGACGGCGCTTCATCCGAAACATACTGCTAAGGCAACACAAAAGTTTGTCAAAGCTAAAAGATGGAAATTTTTGAATGGCCAAGCCAGTCACCAAATTTTTATTTCCAACTGGTCATGCCTTCCTTATGCTGAAGAGGAAACTTAAAGGGACAAGCCCCCGAAACAGGCAGGAGTTGAAATTGGCTGCATTACAGGCCTGACAAAGCATCAACAGGGAAGATCCTCAGCACTTGTCTATCTATGAATCGCAGACTTCAAGTAATAATCATCATATGCAAAGGATATGCAACAAAGTACTAAGCGTGACTGCTTTAATATACCTACCATTGCTATGTTTCAAACATTATGGTGCCCTGAAATGAAGGGAACTATGTATAAAATGTGTTGTAATTTCTACATGGTGAAACAAAAATGTATGCAAGAAACTCTATATGAAAGTCTGGAATGTGCACTTTTACCACGTCTGAATTGTTTGATTTGAAAGTTTAACCTGTGGAGCGGAGGAGTAAATCAAGAAAAAATGTGTCTTTGTCCCACACATTGTGGAAGGCACTGTATGTCACATCTATATGTGACAGAGACGTATGGCGCTATAGGAGTCTGATATTCTCCGATTCCAGTGACGCTGTCCCAGTGGACCCCAGTGTTCCTGTTCACAGTGAAAGTCAGTGAATTCCCAGAATTCCTCAGAGGAGTCTGCGGGTTTACACTTTGCTGCAGATGATTACACTCATTGTACACAACAGTCTTGCGATGTCAGGAACTGTTGGTTCACAAAAGCTAAACTGAGATACAGGATTCCAGGTCTTGGTCACCAGTTCCCATGTTTAAATACCAAATGATAAATATTTAATTGTCTAGTCAGAACTGCAGTCAACATTTAAAATAAACCCGAGTGCTGTTTTCCAGCTGTGTCTATCGTCTGGTTACACTACAAACTACAAATCAATCACTTCAGTTAACCATTTTGAGGGAAACTGTTAATACAGCTCTCAGTTAATTCTGGTAAGCTTGACAGAGAACCATATTAACTGAGCAGTAACATTGTTCATTTAGATACAGGATTTGAGGATGGAAGATGTGATGTTTATGGGAATCTGTGGCCACTTGAAAATGGACAGAGACTAACTGATGAACATTATACTTCTACAATGACTTCTGTATTAGGATCTTGATCTTCTGTAATTCTGTCTATAAACATGTAGCACTCCATGTTTTGCTATATATTAATAATAATAAATAATAATATTAAAATCCATTTTGGAGAACACATTTCTGTTAATCCAATTCAGCAGTGATCATTTTCTTATTTGAATAATTAAACTTCAAAATGCAGCATGTCTTTATGTCCTTACATGGCTTCATTTGGACAGTATAACAAATTACTTTTACTGGATTGAGTTCTCCCTGGGTATAGATATTTCTTAGAGTCTGAGGGATTTGTATTGTTTTGCAAAGAACTTCCATGTGTAATGTGTCAATGATCGTTTCCATATAGTGAATCCTCTCAACAGACCCCATGGATCCCTGAATGCACCTCTTAATGCACCTGTCGGAGGCCTCTTTGCAGCCCCATGGGTGGGATTTCTGGGGAGAGAATGGGACTGTTAATGGTGCGGTTTGGAGGACAGGCACTGTGAAAGACAGCTATCCAGGCCATGTAATCACTGCAGGACATTCAGGTCCCCTTTATTGCTTAGCATCCACTGTTATATTATTCACTGAGACATCCAGATATTACCTGTAGTTCCCCTCCAGGGACCCCAGCTGCTGATAAGATACACTGGCTCCAACTTAATCCTGCCCCCTTGGCTCTCTGGCTCCCCCTACAGGGCTTTTTCAGGAGGACCCTCAGACTTAACCTGGAGTATGAATCCTGTGAGAGAAGCTGTAAGATCCTGAAGAAGAACCGCAACAAGTGCCAGTACTGCCGCTTCCAGAAGTGCCTGTCGGTGGGCATGTCCCACAGTGGTGAGTGCTGGGAATGGGGAGTTGGGGGTGGGGCTTAAACCCAGCTCTGCCAGAGGCTGGACACTGTTAGGACGTTACTGTACGACCATCAGATGCTGACAGAATATTGATGAAGACAACTATAAACATCAATGCACCTAAACAATGACTTTTTGTCTGACCTGATTTGCATACTGCTGCCTAATGTTTGTAAGGTGGAGGATCCTTTTATTTACCTCCTGATCATTGTGGTGATCATGTAACTATCATCCTATGTAGTGAGTACTGGATATCACCTCACATAAACTTAGCCCTCACCTCACCAGTGTATATCCATGACAGCAAAAATGTGTTTACCTGCCATGAACAGTACTAGGGAAAAGGCACAGCCACCCTGGGACCAGTGCTGGCCTGTGGAATCACCAGCTCGCTGGGCAACAGGCTGACCTCGCTTCCCTGGAGCTCTGATGATCCAGTCTTCTCCCACCATCCAAAACCAGTTCACCTGGCTTATTTACTCTAAATAATCCTGTTTGGGTGTTTGTCCATTCTGTATGATTGGGGTGTACCCTACCTCGTGCCCTGTGACCTGGCTATGGATCACCACAACCCATACTGGGCAGGTTGTCATTAAATGTAATGGCATGTGATAGTATATGTGCATGACAAATTCTGTTACTGTAGGAAAAGACATAAACAAGATCTAATATCAACACAAGTATTATAGTGGTGAAGCAATTTAAGCTATGTTGTTAAGTATTTTTGAATATTTAGGCAATTGTTTTGCATAACTGTGATTAATGTGATAAATGAAAGCCACTGATCACTAGCGAATGGTAATGAAACAAGTTTGTTCCTTCCCACCAGCCATCCGCTTTGGACGCATGCCCCAGGTGGAGAAGCTGAAGCTGAAGGCTGCAGTCATGGTTCAGCCTGCAGAGCAGCATGTGGGGAACCCTCAGCCAACTGAGCAGAAGAACCTGAGCAAGCGGATCTGTGAGGCCTACCTGAAGAACTTCAGCATGAACAAGTCTAAAGCTCGAGTCATCCTAACTGGCCGGTCCAGCACACCAGTACGTAGTTAGCTGTGTGACTTTGTGGCAGGGCGAGTGCATCAGTGCATCTTAGTGGGTACAGGAATGTTGTTAATAAGTAACCCTGTGATTTTTGTTACTTTAGTTATTTAGCTTTGCAAAGCGATATATTAGGAGCAGGGAAATGACCTGGAAAGTTCACCAGGAACTACAGATGTGTTTGAGTCGCCCCTGTAAGTCTCGGGGGTCAAACACATCTTTTCAGTTCAATTATGTCTGATCATCTGTCCTGTAAGACTGAGTAACTGTTCCTAATTCCTATCCTTTTACTTTTACTGTTCATTTTTCTGGGGAAGGAGTACCAGGAGGTAGTCTTGTTTTGAAATGGTAATGTTCTGCTTGAGGTGACAAGTAACTTAGTAACTCAGTTACTACTCAATTACAAATCATGAACAAATATTAGTAACTACATGAGATACATTAACTGTTATGATTGATTAATGATGAACGAACATGGGATCAGTACTAGTTTCTGGTTAATTAATACATTAAATAAGTAAGTACTACTACAATATTTTTGCCCCCTCAAGTAAAATGTTGTGAAATGTCCTTCCTTGGTTGGTTACAATCTGCACAAGGTACTTTTTTTTTTGCTGTTCTAACACAGGTTAAAACAAGGTTGTTCTTTGCAAGACAAAAAAACAGAGAGGGCCTTCTGTTTTGTAGCATCCCATCTGGTCCCAGGTTTCTTAATCAACCCCTGACTTGGCTATATTATGGCTGTTCTCATTATTTAATTGGTTGATTGGTCCGTGCCTTCAAGGTCATGCTACTGTTAATAGTTTCTATTCTCTCAGCAGCCCCTGGTCATCCACGATATGGAGACACTGCTCTTAGCTGAGCGCACCTTGCTGGCCCAGCTGCCGGGTGGGGCCGGGGGCCCGCGGACCGGGGAGGCGGAGGTGCGCATCTTCAACTGCTGCCAGCGCACCTCTGTGGAGACTGTCACGGAACTGACAGAGTTCGCCAAGGCCGTACCAGGCTTCTCCTCTCTGGATCTCAACGACCAGGTGACACTGCTCAAGTATGGTGTCTATGAGGCCCTCTTCACCATGCTGGCCTCCTGCATGAACAAGGATGGGCTGCTGGTCGCCTATGGCAACGGTTTTGTTACGCGTGAGTTCCTCAAGAGCCTGCGTAGGCCCTTCAGTGACATGATGGAGCCCAAATTCCAGTTTGCCGTCAAGTTCAATGCCCTGGAGCTGGATGATAGTGACCTGGCACTCTTTATCGCCATGATCATCTGCTGTTCAGGTGCCAGCAAGCATTCCTTTCATATGATAGGGTCAATTTTCCGTGTTTCTCAATGTCTTTGTTCATTCATTCAGTACCTGTTCTTATTTGATCAATTATGATGTTATTATAATAACAATATTGTTAATATGAAAACTATTCACACATCCATATTCAGTAACGACTCAATGTGTTTAGATCATGGTGATCATCTGAGTGTATCCAGGGAAATGTAAAGTATAAGGCATTATGGGATGTCAGTCACAGGAAACTAAACAGACATACCCAGGGTAGTCAGCAGGACACCATTCTGGAGGACATCAGTTTTAAGAGCATTCAGACGCTTTTTGCTTCCTGACCCAACTTCCCCGCACCCCAGCACTGGATAAGTGGTTGGGTTGGGTTTGTTAGGATTGAGTTGGTTTGGATAGGGTAGGGAAATGTTGGGTTATGTGAGGTAGGTTAGGGTAGGGTGGGATTGGGTAGACTGAGAGTTAACACATTTCAGCCTCACCATCTGTCTTTAGCAGAAGTTCTGGATCAGGGTCCAGATGGGCAGGATGGGCTATGGAGTACCAGACAGTCTTGTTACTGAGACCCACAGATTCTTCTCACAACAGTGACTTATACTCATTGATAGCCCATCCATGACTTAAACTGATGAATGGAAAACAGCCCTAATGATGAGCTGGAGTTAATACTATATCTGTAGGTCAGTGCTGAGCTGACCATCTTACACTGTTCAGCATTCTCTGATACAATCACCCCCCCTCCCCCTCCCCCTCCCAGATCGCCCAGGGCTTGCAAACCCGACGTGTGTTGAACACCTGCAGGAGGCCATCGCACAAGTGCTGCAGCATCACCTGCAGACCACCCACCCGGATGATGCATTCCTCTTTCCGCGTCTGCTGCAGAAGCTGGCCGACTTGCGACAGCTGGTGACCGAGCATGCTCAGCTGGTGCAGGAGATCAAGAAGATGGAGGATACCTCGCTGCACCCATTACTGCAGGAGATCTACCGGGATATGTACTGAAGAATGGAGGGATCAACAGCTTAGCCTATAGGAGTGCTGCATTTGTTGCAGGGCTTTTCATATGGCACGAGTATCTTTGGGGTTCTACACCGTGCTGAATACATGCAGTTCTGCATTTACAACTTCCTGACAAGGTTGTAATGTCATGCCTCCATAAATAAAATGGCTAGAGACTGGAAATATTCATCAATTTAATTAGAGAGGTGCACAAAGTCAGAAGTGATGAGGTGACCTACAGACAGACTGACCAAATGATTTGGTGTATAAATGAGTACTTGGAAGAGAGGTTGACTGTGGGTCAAGTGGGCATGATTCACAATTCTGCACTTGGATTAGCCAGTCAACCTACCTGATGCTTATCTCTCCCAATCAAATGTGCTTGTGTGCTTGATGCATTGCATAGACATTTGATGCATTCTTGGCATCTTCAGTACCCTTACCCTAACCGCTTCCCCCACCTCTTGAAACATCAGCGATCAACAAAAAAATCTGAAAAATGCTGCATAGTTTTATTAAACTTTAAGAAGTTGAATGTATTAACATCTTTACCCCAACTGGCTATAGGCATATAATCTGTTCATTTCCAGCTTGCCAGTATGATTATCTGGTGCTTTGACCACACCACACTGTCCTGACCCACTGGACCACATATGGTCAATTCTGCTTTTACTGAAAAAAAAGCCATTTGCTGTGTAGAATATTTTGATGATAAACCTTTAAAATATGCAAAGTAGCCATAGTGCTTTCCCAAACCTTCAGAACCAGTGAGAGTGCATGCTAATTCTAATTATGACCAATAGGATTGCACCTGGATTCCAGACAATTTTGAAGACCAATGATGAGTTTAAATCTAATTATATCTGTCGTTACAATCTGCACATGGTACTTTTTTTACACAAACTTCCTTGCTGTTCTAATACAGGTTAAAACAAGGTTAAAACTAATAACATAGTTTAATGTGCATTCCTGTATGCTAAGCGAGTGTCAGCAAGTGACAGTGTTGCATCCAATGACCTTGGTCGCCTGATCTAAACACATTAGAAATGGTTTTGGAGGAGTTTGACCAGAGTGTGAAGGAAAAGTACCCCAAAAAAAGATGCACGCTGTGTGGTAGTATAGGCATAGAGTATCTGAGGAAGTGCCTGTGGCCATTTGCACTTCTAGTGTGAGCGCAGCAAGTCATGTAATGTGCAATTAAACCTCTCACACTACCTGTTACTCTCAGGATGATACGGTGTTCTACTCATCAATATGGTACAGCTGACACAACTTTCATGAGGTCACCTTCAAAACTACTTCTTTTTGTATTTGATGTGCTGCAGAACAGCCACATTGAACATTTCATTTTCAGTGACTTTTATGTTGAGTTTGAATCGGATCCTTAGCTCAGGTAATCCCGGCTTGGAAGAGTATGCACCCTTCCATGAGCTGAATTTGTTGGATTTGTATCGTCTTTGATTTTCACTGACATCCTCTTGCTGGTAAGGCTTCTGAAGCTAGAATTTGCACTGCACACCCCCAGACTAAATGATGTGTAAACACATTTCAAAGTCTTTAACGTATTAGTCACTACAGTTCTTTGTGATTTTGCAGAGCTTAAATCATAACCCAGGTAGAAGGCTTTTATTACTGCCACAGTCTGTCATAATCTATCCTATGCTACATTCTATCATTATATTAACTATAGTCATTGTCATTAATCAGTTAATAGTCTTCCATTATAGTTACTGTCAATAGCCAATATGGCCTTATTGTGACTTATTTGTCAAAACAATCAGCTTGACAATACAGCCACTGTTGTTATTCAATCAATACAGTCAGTTATTATTATCTAACCGCATCCATTCTTAATTATTTTCTATTACAGTCAGATTATTCACACAGCTGGCTCATGTAAAGCATCCTTGCTTGTAGCTTGTATTCTTCATGCTTCCGTTGACTCTACAGACCGCAATTACTTCATCACAATCCAGATCCACTGCTGACTCTGTGAAATTAGTTCTTTCAAGGCTTTAAAGGCTGATGCATGTTTATACTGTATGAAGAGCGGTTTAAGGAAATGCCAGGGAATCGTTCATTTTGTATGGTTTAAAGCAGCCCATGGTTATCTTTGTTATGTTTCGTATTAACCATAAAAGCACATATCTGAACCCTAATTCAATATATTATCCAGAGAAATATATGGATTGTTTGTACGGTTGAATGACTTGTATGGATTGTATGACTTTTTATGCCATTGTTTTGGCCATCGGTTTTGGTTATTGTTTTGGTTCATTTTTACATATTTTACATCCTTCGTCATGTAATCAAAAGCATAATTTGTCTTATATTACTAAAGAAATTTAAACAAATAAACAAATTCACAATTGTGAAGCATCATTTAAGCTTTACTGACTGTTGGCAGAAACAGACACCGAAACAGACACGAGTAGGTAATAACACGACAATTATGTTGGTAAGGAATGAATCTGGGCTGTATAAACGGTTATTACAAAAAAAGTGGATGATCAGCCGGTCAAATATAAACATTTATCATTTAGTTAATACCCCATGTCATGTATCTAGCTCAGATGTTTTTTTCAGAACTATATGTCTGCTCTCAGTTTGAATAACAGGGCAAAAGCCACGGTCCCGATTTTATACATGAACCACTGCCAGTCCGTACATTAAGTATTTGAAAGGTAGCATTCCCATATGGGGCCCATATGGGAAAGACATGGGCCATCTGGGCTGGCCCAGCTCACATTTTACCCATGTGGAGCCCATATGGGCAGAATCTAGGCAAACCCATATGGGGCTGAACGATATGGGCCCCATATGGGTTAAATGTGGGCTGAACGATATGGGCCCCATATGGGCAGGATCTGGGCAAACCCATACGGGTGAAATGTGGCTGAACATGATATGGTTAACACAGAGATTTTGTCTAAAAAATTACTGCTGTTACCCATATGGGTTAAATGTGGCTGAACGCGATATGGGTAACAGAGATTTTGTCTAAAAAATTACTGCTGTTACAATTGTTCTGAACACACATACAATTGTTTAATTCTTAATATTTAATTAAGTTTCTGAGTGGAAATTTGAAATTTGAGGGCCAAAACTATTACATGACAACAAATTGAATTAGATTATTCCTCACCTTTTTTCCAAGTGCTGTGCAGCAAAATTCAAAAACGAAAGAGGCTACAAAAGATGAGGTGAAAGGAAGCATTACCTCATTCCTCTACAATGCACGTGATTTAAAAGGTGGAAGAAGAGACGCAGACAAGAGACGGAGCAGGAGAGTGGCCCTTCCAAACAGGGGAGAGTGGAATTGGTGGACGAAGAGGATTTTTTAATTTGTAAAATAAATGTAAACTGATTTTTAATTTAATTGTGATGTCAGTGTGTGATTTTCCTTAAATAAATACTGCATAAAACTGATTATAGGCCTATCTGCTTCTTTACTTTTGGTTCAGCCACTGTTTAACTTATCAGTTTAAGTTATTTTACAGTTTACCTGTAAAACTCATCACTGTTTGCTCAATTTAATTTAGTTACCATGTGTAAATAATCTTAATATAATCCAGTAGCGATCATTCCAAATACCAGCTACTGTACTATGGATGCCACAGTTTAAATTAGCAGGATTGTGAAAACACTAACCACATTTTCTGGATTACTTTCTCTTGTAAAACGTATTATGTTCTTTGAGTATGCAAAATGCAAAATTTGTCATTTTAACTGTGTAATCAAAAACATGCAATCAGACTTGCAAACTGTTGATTTTGCATATCCCAGACAAATACCACATCCTTGCCCATATGGGCTGGCCCACATTGTGCCCAGGTAATGTGGCCCATGTGGGGCCCAGATAAATCCCAAATCTTTGCCCATATGGGCTGGCCCACATTGTGCCCAGGTAATGTGGCCCATGTGGGGCCCAGATAAATCCCACATCATTTGCCCATATGGGCTGGCCCACATTGTACCCAGGTAATGTGGCCCATGTGGGGCACAGCAATAATCCATACCGAACCCATTTGGGGTTCATGGGCTGACCCACATGAGGCCCATATGAGAGTAGTGTGTGGCTCAGTGGGCTAAGCCTGTGTGCTTGTAATCACAAGGTCACCAGTTCAAACCCAGCCTCAGCATGGCCTTGAGCAAGACCCTTAACCCCCAGACCTCAAGTTGGTAGAGGCATAAAAAGAATTTCCCTATGAGGGACAATAAAGGTTAAATTATAGTTATTATATGGGCCCCATATTTTGGCCCTTAAGGGGCCCATGTGGGAATGCTACCCGGGCACACTTACATGTCAAGATATGAGCCCATCCATTCATCCTTCCATCTTCCAACTCTTTATTCACTGCAGGTTTGGTGTGCGAGTCCATATGTATTATCAAAAACAAAATAATAGCAATATACTGTACATACAGGACAATCAAAACACTTTTTATTGTATAATAAAAAAATCATTTGCAATCAAAACAAATGAAGATAGAAATATGCCCCGAATGTCTTAGTTGTGTAGGTTTATTATTAAGTTTATTAAGAATTTCATATACTGTGAGTAGTTTGGATTTATTAATCACCTGTTACTTCATTTAGAGTACATACTGTATTGGCCCGAATATAAGACGACACCGATTATTGTCCTGCCAAGGAAGATCCGCAGAGACAATATCCGGCAACCAAGTTTATTAGGAATAGACTGAGGGGAGGTCGTGAGCCGTATCCAAGTCGTTGCCAGGGAATAGTAACCAAAGTCCAGTCCGTGATCCGATGCCGTTGTCGAGTAAGTGGAAGCCGAGGGTCGAGAAGCCAGTTGGTCAAGCCGATGACACGGGAGACGAACACGGGGAAGTCCACGGGGGGCGTCATGGGGAGGGTGGTCGGGAAGGAGGGCAGGCAGGAGTCGAGGAAGGAGCGGGCAGGGCCAGGAAGACGGAACGTAACTAGGGAGAAAACGAACAATCAAAGCGCTCAGCATGTACATTACTACAATACCTCGCACCAGACTGATGTCAGTGCGAGGTTTAAATACGGTATTCCCCTCAGTTTCCGGCAATCATTGCCAGTCACGTGAGGTGGGAGTGACAATTATAAGACGAACCCCCTACATTTCTAAAAAAAAAAAAAAAAAGTTTTTGGAATACCATCTTACCTTTATAAAGAAAAAATATTTTATTTGACAAGAACACATAAGTTAACCAGCAACTACAGCTGAAAGAGCAACCACAGGCAATAGAATTACAGTAAGTGTATTGAACGGCAAACATTCCAAAAAACAAATTTATTATTTATTTATTTATTTTTATTTTTTTGGGGGGGGGGGTAAATAATAAATATAACTCCACAACCCTTGAGGTGGCAGAATATTTTCGATGCAGCAGACGCACGTGAAGAGGATAAATACACGTATTGCGGAGAATTGTTCAGCCATATTATTGACTTATATGACAACTATTTTAAAATGAATGCTACTATCTTTATTAACATCCACAATCGGTTTAATGCTAGCAGGGAAGCCAACTATTTACACGACACTCAGGGTTACACACTAAGCACACGCATTGGCAGGGCTGCCAACTCCCACACATCTGGCGTGACGCTCACGCTTTCAAACTCTATGCTCACGCAAGAAATATTACGGCAAATCTATGTTACGGTAAGTCAAAAGGCTCGTTACAAAATATCGTATTTTGCTCCTTTTTGGCTAGACCCCGAATATAAGACGACACCACTTTATCAGACAAATTTTGAGAAAATAAACCCGTCTTACATTTGGGTCAACACGGTAATCACAAAGCTTAGGGATCCATCTCCATCCTAAATCAATATCATCCCAAACAGATTTTAGTCCATAGTCAAAAAACGAGTTCGCTTTCTCACAATATTGTCCTTTGTGGCGTACGGTAGCGACCAATATCGGAAGCGAAACGTGCGTTAGACAGTGCGCACAATAGTATTTACTCTTTATTTGTAAGATTAATTATAAAATGAACTGACCCATGGAGACCAGCAGTGCTGCCGAAGGGTCGGGGAGCCGGTTCACATGCGAGCTGTGCGGATTATCAGCTCCGTTCTCTTACTACGGACAGAAACCCCCGGACACTAGGGCAATAGTGTGCGTGTTGAGGGGGGGGGGGTAGTTTAAAACGCTGATCTGATAGAATATCTGAATCTACAAAAGATTATAGCCAAATCTTTGCTTTTAAATATATTACTTTACAGGTGTAACACTTTTGTTTGGAGTACGTGGTTTAACACTTTCAGATATACAGTTAATATGCATACTATATTGCCGTCACTCCGGGAATCTATCTGTGATGTGCTGTATTTTGTCTATTCTCTGTTCTCACAGCCTTCTCGAAGAATGTTTTGTTATGAAGGATCCGTTTAGTCCTAACAGGGACAAATTCCTCATTTTGGGCTCCAACTGCAGTGTGTGTCACAGGACAGTTTGCGTTGGCACGGTATGTTAAATGCAAGTTGTATATATAATTGTTTTGAAAAAACCGTACATGTTGTAATGAATGGGTCTGACCTTGTTTTCTCAGGACTGCAGCCTGTTCTACACTAAACGCTTTTGCCTTCCATGTGTGCACAAGCACCTGGATCAATTTCCCCTGCAAATCCGGAACGAACTGGCCAAGAAAAAAAGTTCACAAAGAATATCATCCACAACTTAAGCCCTTTGGAAACCTACTTGGACCTTATATTGCGCGATGTGCAAAAACTGTGTGAGGAAAAGTAATTTGCTTTATTTGTAAGATCTAGAACTAGTGGAAGCCATCTCCTGTTTCTCTTATTTATGTATTTTGCCAGTCATCTAGTAAACTCGTTAATCATCTGCTGAGAAAATTTACAAACTTAAAACTTCATCTTAATACAAGGACCAACAACATAATTAAATGTTATGTAAAAATTAAAATTGAGTGTTAAGTATTGGTTTGAAACATTTCTGTTATTTTGATCGGGGTTTAAACGAGAATAAGTTGTGATCGGTAATTATGTAAAACAGACGTACTGGAAACAACTCCAGAGGTGCAGATGAACCTACAGCAATATTTCTAAAGCTGAAAATGGCATATGGAAGAGCTGTGGCGTATAATGAACACACCAGTTTAGTGTTTGAAAATGCTGTCATATAACGTCTGGCTAATTTTTTGTTGTCTGTAAATATCCAGCTGTCTCCATTATGTGTAAACTTCCATCCAAATCTAAAATATACTCGCTAACCTCCAGTATGTGTAAATATTCAGCTATAGTCAGTAGATGGCGCATTTCTTTCCTTACTTGCCGCCATGAATATGACGCAAACGCAACGCCCCCTTCTTGGGTCAAAATGGCGCTCCCCATAGTGGTGGTGTGCTGGCGTGTTAGTACGTGTAGATCACGATATTTACTGACAAAGGTCAGCACGGGTTCCTCATTTAGCACCAGGTTACACTCCTCTGCCAATGACGGAGACGGACTCTTATCGGCGCTGAGCAGACGGGGTGTTTTAAAGGACGCCTTCCCTGAATCGGCCGCCCAGGTTCAGCTTCCTCAGCTGCTCCTGGCCGGCCCGCAGTGCGTGTACTGCGGCTTCGACCCCACCGCGGACAGCTTACATGTGGGGAACTTACTGGCCATCATCGGGCTGCTGCATTTCAGAAAGGCTGGCCATGATGTCATCGCGCTGGTCGGCGGCGCTACGGCGAGTATCGGAGATCCCAGCGGCAAGACCGCCGAGAGGGAGCGGCTGTCCTCGGAGGTTATCGAGAGCAACATCGCGGGCATACGACAGAATCTGGAGTGCATTTTCACCAACCATGAACTGTACTTCTGCCAGAACTCTCCCAAGCTCGGCACGGTGACCGTACTGGATAACGACAGCTGGTACCGGAGGTGGAACATGATCTCTTTTCTATCTGAAGTAGGGAGGCACTTCCGCATGGGCACCATGCTGAGCAGGCACAGCGTGCAGACCCGGCTGAAAAGCCCGGAGGGCATGAGCCTCACAGAGTTCTCTTACCAGGTTTTCCAAGCTTACGACTTTTATCACCTAAACCAACAGTACAATTGCAAGATTCAGCTCGGAGGGACCGACCAGCTGGGTAACTTGATGTCTGGACACGAATTTATTCACAAGTAAAGTTGCTCAACCTGTTTAATATAATCCCCTGTTATGAAAATCGGCGTGACAATGCTTTTATGCTGAATTATACGTTTGTTGTTTGCTGAATAACCCACTTACGTGATACAGGGTGACCGGACAAGAAGTGTATGGCCTCACTGTTCCTCTGGTAACCAGTTCAGCTGGAGACAAGCTGGGTAAGACGGCAGGCAACGCCGTGTGGCTGAACAGGGACAGGACATCACCCTTTGACCTGTACCAGTACTTTCTCCGGCAGCCTGACGCCAGTGTGGGCAGGTAGGTGCTCCTATCCCTGTAGTATGAGGCTGTAGGCTAGTGCTGCGGCTGTCGATTGGGGTCCTGTAGAACCCCAGTTCAGGTTATTTAAGCTGGGGGGGTAGGCTTTGAATACAAGCGTGAAACTGAACTATTGCTGCCTGGGTGTAACTAAGCTAAACATTTTCTCAATATTATTTAGTCATTTTTTGTTCTAAGGGACAGGTATTATTTAAAGATGTCCTAAACAAAATAATCCTGGATATCTATACTGATGTGGACTGGAAAATGTATTAGGAATGAAAGGATGCCACGTCGTTTGATGGAAATGAAATTTATCACCCTAAAGAGGGTTGAATTCAAAGACCCCCTGAAAATCAAAGTGAAAAAATGATGCGGAAGGCTTGTCCATTTTGCTTAAATTTCATTGCAGTAACTCAAAATCATACTGAGTGGTTTTTATGGCCCCCACATGCTTGTATACATGTCTCCATGGCTTCTCCAGAGCCTTTCACATCTGTCACATGTGCTCAGGGTGAACATGCTCACATCTGTGAAAAGCACAGGGCACTAGTGGCGTACCTGCCAGTTTTGGTATTCTGTGGCAAATGGAAATCGAGCTCCACGGTGCCGGGCAGTGAGCACAGGGCCCACTAGAGGACTTCTAGCCCTCAGGCTACCCTCATGAAGTCTGATTCTGATTGTTTGGTTAGAGACATTCACACACTCCTCCATGCCTTTGAGACTGGGCTGGGAGACACAGAAAACCTTCTGACAATGGCACGTATTGATGCGCCATCCTGGAGTTGGACTACCTGTGCAACCTCTGTAGGGTCCAGGTATCACCTCATGCTACCAGTAGTGACCCAGACCGTAGCCAATTGCAAAACTAGTGAAAAAAACAGTCAGAAAAGATGAGGAGGGAAAAATGTCAGTGGCCTCCACCTGTTAAACCATTCCTGTTTTGGGGTCGTCTCATTGTTGCCCCTCTAGTGTACCTGTTGTTAATTTCATTAACACCAAAGCAGCTGAAACTGACTCACAACCCCCTCTACTACTTAAGTGACCAAATCAATATCCCAGAAGTTTAATTGACTTGATGCTGATACTCTGATTAAAAAGTGTTCCTTTCCTTGTTTTGAGCAGTGTACCTATGGATACTATTATTGGCTACCCCCTTTTCAGCTATTTTGTATAACAACTCCAGTAATAGGAAATCCACCTAATTTTGAAAAGATGTTTGTTTTAACATGCTTGTAGTTTGTTTTACTGAACAATAATTAAACATAATCTGCACAGTATTAAGGGCACCTTTTTCTAATACTTTGCCACATGTCCCCTGGTAGTAATGACAGCATCCGGATGTTACCTTTAGCCATCTATGATAGGGATGGGTATCCTGTTCCATGGAGAGCTAGTGTGGCTTTTTGGGATGACCTCTCAATCAGCCAATAACAATGGGTCCCCAGAACTGGAGTTGAGAATCACTACTTGATTATTGGTTTATTGAGAGGTCATCCCTAAAAACTCATACCGACATTGGCCCTTCATGGAACAAGTTTCTCACCCCTGACCTACGACAAGGCAGAAAGTACACAGGGAGCAGGAAACAGGGCTGTCCAACTCAGATCCTGCAGGGTTTATGATGCAATGCACTTGGTAACTGATTTACAAGTAATGGTTGAGGTGACTTCACTGTTGGGAGAATTGCTATTGTAAAGCTATTAAGGGTTCATCTAGGTTGATAAACCAGCCCCGATCCAACATCCAGCAGGATGTTGGATCAGGGCTGGTTTATCAATGATGCTTCTACTGCAGGTACCTGAGGCTCTTCACCTTTCTCCCTCTGGCTGAGGTGGACCACGTGATGGAGCAGCAACAGCGGGACCCAGGGAGGCGGCCCGCGCAAAGACGCCTGGCTGCAGAGGTCACCAAGTTAGTCCACGGCAAAGAAGGCCTGGAGAGTGCCAAGAGGTACAGCCCCTCTAAGCATCCACCCTCCAGCCACTCACATTACCGTCCGGCAGCTAACGGACCAATGCAAAACGTGCATGCCTGTGGACACACAACTCTCTGCCTCCACAGGTGCACCAACGTGCTCTACCATAACAGCCTGCAGGCCCTGGAGCAGATGAGTGATGCAGAGCTACAGGAGCTCTTCAAAGAGGCCCCTTTCCTAGAGATGCTTATTGAACCTGGGACCACAGTGCTGGAAGCGTGCAGACAGGCCAAGGCCATCCCTGATGGGGCCAGGGGGTGAGTTCCGGCCAACCTGGCAACTACTTACACACATAACACATTAATGCATATACAAAATAAAACTGAAATGGCACACTGTAAAAGGCAGAAGGAAGTGTGCATGAAAAATAAGGTACCAGAGAAAAATATGCACGATTTCCAAATGAGTTGGAGAACCATTCTTGCATGCCAAAATGAATATGTCCCTTTCCCTTAAGTCAACAAACGAATGTGTGTAGTTTTGAGTTTCAAAGGGTCATGGTTTCTGGGCAGGTACAGCATGGTGTCAGAGGGAGCCGTGTGGATCAACCATAACTGCGTTCACAACCCCGAGCAGGTGCTGATCAGGGGACAGCACATCCTGACCAATGGACTAACCCTTCTCCGGGTGGGAAAGAGGAACTATTATATCCTGAAGTGGCTGGGCCTCTGACGTGCCAGGCCCTCTAAAACTTTCTACACAATGCTACATGATTCTCCAGAGTGTGAGAGTACCCTGAAATTATGCAGAATAATAAAGAGTCACAGATAATTTGGACACTATTTTTTTCTTGCTGTGAACATGAGCATTATCCTTTTGTAAAATATATTTAATGTGTAACTATTTAATGGGTCACGTTGTGCTTTATCTTCTCTGGAATTATAGACTAAGTACTTTTTTATCCAGTTATAGCTGGATATTTTATTCGGGCATTTGAGGTTCAATATATTGCATAAGGGATTAAGATCATGGCCATCCTGGCTGTTCCTGGGAGTTGAGCCTGTGACCTTCACATTAGGACCCCTGCTGGTCATCTGTGTTCCTTTTCCTGCTGGGGGGGTTCCTTGAGAGAAACATGACAAACCCCTGGAATCCTCGGTGTGTGCAGATATTTGTAACAATAGAATGCTTAAATGACGCTACATGATTGAGTTGTTGATCGAATTGTGACCCTGATTTTATTATATTTTGGGGTGACATTTTTAATCCTTTGTTTGCTCTTCCTGCTATCTATTGATACAATTTCTTTAACTCTGAAAATACATAAATATTTAAAGGAGTCATTTAATTAGTTACTTATTTACCAATTGAATTATCCTGTTGAAGTATTTGTAGTGTTTCTCATCTAGATCACTGATTTGCAAAAACAAGTATTAGCAGGATCCTGATATTGTAATTGTCAGGTTTTGATTAGTATTGACAAGATTATTAGACTGAATTTGGAGGCTGGCTGGATTTTGCTACAATGCTTGGTTCCCTACAGATCATACTGAGATATCTAGTCATCCATTTTCACACCTTTCTTGCCCAGTTAGTATCACTGATCTGCAGCTGGCAGTGAATCAGACTATTCAGTTAGATTTATTCTTATTAATCGTACCAACATGTTTGACCCAGCGCAATTAATGCATGCATGGAAAAACTATACGTCTGATGCAGAGGACTTGTGTACACAAACTTATAGGATAGGAAAAAACAACAAACTCGAGTGCTGATGTTACGATTGTGCTAGGAAAATGAGAATATATATATTAAATGTTACGACCTGAGGTTTTTCTGTGAGGGTTTTTGTACCAAGTTATTCAGAGCTTTGACCACGGCTTTTCTTTTTAATCTACACATAGGAGTGGCTTCGGGGTAATGAGTGGCAGCATACATCATAGTGAAAAGATAACTATTCCTATTTACGAGTTTTGGCTAAAGGACCCACACAATCTATCCCAATGTGTTCATACGGTTCTCCGATCGTAGGAACAGGGCACAGGGGAGCAGGCAGAATAAGTTGGTTAGACTTTACATTCAGCTGACAACTATGACGATTCGCAACAGCCTTAATGTTCGGCCAGTAAAAATGCTTAGAAACCTGGCTGTGGGTTTTTCTGATCCGTTTAGACGTAGGTGAGAATATTTATGGGTCGCACTCGGTAGTTGGGGTTTTACTGGTTGTTTTGGCCGTGGTCACTCCTGGGGAGTGTTCCATGAAGCAGGATTTCTCAGTAACTTGTTGGATTTAAGGTAGTCTGGGCAAAATGTAAGTGAACGAATATGGTGTCCATTTGAACTGTGGTACCTTAAATCCGACAAATTACCTCGATAAGCCAGTAAGCCCGCTTCGTAGTACAGGCCACTGAAGCCATATTAAAATCCTTGCGATGTTTGGCAACAACACCGTCATTTGGGGTGTTTTTCCAAATCTGTGTGTAATTTTAAATACTCCCACTAGAGGTCAACAGTGCTCTAATATCCAAAACGCAATTTCTAACTTTGCTCTACAGTGCGCAGAAATGCAACAGTTGCGGTTAGCTTTTGAAATGTCCGATTCTAGAGCAAAGAATGTGCCGACTGAAACTAAGTTACTGTTTTGTAAGATTTATTTTACATTTCAAAAAATGTATGCGACAAGCTTCCTAATTAAAACATGTACATCCGTGCTATAATTACTACTACACTGAAAATGGAGGTCTGATGACATTTTAATCGTTATTTTTCCGGAGTCCGTTGCATTTCATAGGAAAATAGAATAATTATTTATTCACATTTTGAGATTTTGCTAATAACTAAGAGAGCTGATTTGTGTAAAATATGTAATTTTAGTGCACCGCTTTTACCCAACTATACTTACTGGGAGTTACACAGCTATCTATATTAAGTGAACCAGTAGATAATAATACGAGCTGTCTAATTCCAAAGGTTTCCAAATGACAGACAGAACAGTGAGTTTTCCCAAACCACTGTTTCTCCCGTTAGTACAAGTGTACAGGTTATACTGGCAGACATCATCTGATATATTCCACCACATTTCAGCTTCTAGCTGAAATAACTCCAGTAAAACAGAACAAGAGCAAAAATGTCTTAGCTGTAGATTTCTTGTACATTATAATCGCAACAGATTGGCCCTACTGTATTTACTTTGCCAAAGTCTGAGAGCGATAAGCAGGAGCCAGCGATGACCTCAGGTGTTTGCTGCACAAGACGAGCAAGGCGACTGTTATCTTCTCCAATTAGTACTACTACCGTAGAATGCAGTTATATTGGCATAATATGTTCACATATACAATTTACAATGCAATATACTGAAAAGGAACTTTAAACAAGCCTGCTGTAGGTTATGTTGTACTGGTTTATGTAGACTTTGAAGGTGTGTGTGTGTGTGTGTGTGTGTGTATATATATATATATATATATATATAGAGAGAGAGAGAGAGAGAGAGAGAGAGAGAGAGTTAAATATAATTCAGTGTTTCCATTCCTTTGCATTCGAAAACAACTAAACGCATCACCGGAAGTACAGCTTCACACTTACTCTGTTCCCTGAATGTTTTGATGATCGTTATCTGAATAATACACACATTTGACCGCAAATAACGTGACCATTTCTTTACGCTTAGTAGCTGTATTGCGTAATATACGCGCCATTCTGGTGTTTTCTCACCGTTTACCGTTCACCTGTTTTCTCAAATATCTTTTTTTTCTACAGATTGTACAACCTGACTGTCATAACTACAACACGTAGTTTTTTTTATATAAAAATAAGATTAATGTAACAGTTTTATAGCATCTTTATCTTTGTTTTTTTAGGAAAGATTACACAAAATCTATGTGACCTTTTCCCCGTAAATAGCTGTCTTTTACCCATTTCATAATTTGTACAGAGATGGAAACAGCAGTTTTCTCTGCGTTTGTTTTCTTCAAAAAAAAAAAACCCTTCTAATTACTGTAATAGGGGAGTGACTTAGTCCAGCAAAACATTGCAAGGTCGCTGCACACGCAGCCCTTATTTTTAAAAAAGCATTTAAGGTGGCATGGCCCATTGCGGCAAACAATGTGGGCGGGTCTCTATAACTATATTGTTGAACGGTACAATAATACGCAGCAAATACACTGCGTGCATGTTCTGAATTGCAAAACTGACTGTGCATTTCCGAGTCAGTGTAATTAAGACTACGTGATATACCAGTTGACCTGTTTATATAGTTTTCTATCAACGCAGATCTGCGGCTAGAGAGAGGGAAAATTGAGAGGGACACCTTAACAGAAGTGAGCTTTGCCTCCACCGTCGGCGCGGACCAATCACAGGCTGCTGTCTGTTTAAATACACTTTCTTTGCAGCTAAGTTCAATCGCCATATTGGGCACTGCGAAGGCTCGTCTTTTTGCTTTGCTCCCATCCGAAGATAGAATTGACAGGAGTGGCTTTTTCTTTTTTTCTAGCGATTGCACTTTGTTTTGATGATCCGTGCAGATTTACTTCTGCTCTCTCTGGCTCTGTTCGGCGGCTCCTTTTTACGCATGGTACACATGCGTGGGCGCTAACGCACTGCATCACAGCTATATATATATTCTGTTTTGATTACGCCGGAGCGCGGAGGAAATTCGTGTGTTTTTTCCCCCTCCTAGTTGTTTGTTTTGTTTCGCTTCGTCCTTCTCGCCATGTCAGATGTCCGTCTCTCGAGTAGCCCCACGCTGGAGAGGATGGACGTCCGGCTGTCCGATCATTCGAAGTCCCGGGCTTGCCGGTGCCTCTTCGGTCCAATCGATCACGGCGAGTTGAAGAAGGATCAGCAGGAGCTCCAGCGGCTCCAGGAGGAAACGGCAGCTCGAAAGTGGAATTACGACTTTGCCAGGGACCGGCCGCTGGCCGGCGGCGCCTACGACTGGACGGCGGTGAACAGCTGCGACCTGCCAGAGTTTTACAGCCGGGGGCATCCCGGCGCTGGAGTCGCACTCCCCTCAGCGAGCGCCGCCGACGCGGATCTACGAGGCCAGAGCCACTGTCAGGAGGGCGACGCGAAAGGGTCAGCGGAGGCAGCTGAAAAGCCTGACGAGCAGATGGATTATAGAAACCCGCGGGAGAAATCCATCACAAGGAAAAGACCTGGAAGCAAAGGTACAATATCAATGTATTTATGCACTTTCTCTCTTGACAGTGTTTGGTAGGTATATGTATGCGTGTATGCGTTCCAGTGTAAGTATATGTCTGAATCTCTGCATGAATATTTTGTGTGTACGTTTCTGATACGTTCCTCTGTCGAGTTGGTAATTTGCTTGCAGAACGCAATGTGCAAAGCGCCGAACTGTGCTTTTCTGTATTAACTTGACGGAGTCGTGTGCAGGGCTCGTTTGTCGGTAGTGTCAAACAAACGCCAAGTATTGGAGGGCTTCAGGATGTGCGGAGATGAGTAGATGTCTATATGCGTTTCCCCTACAGAGTCCCCTTCACAGAGTAAAAAATCACGCAGGCTTTTGGGCGAGAGCAGCCAGTGTTCGGCGGTGCCGCTGGAAGTGACACCGAGGAAGTCCAAAACGTGAGGTTTCTACAGGTAAGCTTGCATAATTTCCCGTGCCTGAGGTTTTTTTGGGACGTATCTTAGTGTGTCCGTCCAAATCTTATTCCACATCGCTCATGATTACTGGGTTTTCCCTCCGAATATACATACACTGTTCCCTGTAACAGGGGACAGAACGGATGAATTTGCCCTAATGTATAAAACTGTGATAATAAGGACAATGTTGATATTGCTCATCTTTCTGGCCCTGTGCTTTACCAGATTTTGTCTTACCTTGCAGTGAGTATACTGTCAGTTTAAACCATGAAGTGTCCTTCTGCAAAAGCTTTTTTTTCTGGTTGAGGGGTGACGTTACTGTTTCTAGTAAAGCTTTTTTCTGATAGTGAAAAGCATAGTGTTCATTGTTAAATTGCAACTGGCCTGTACAGATGTGTGTTTGGCCTTAATGTTTAGATCAAATTAATTTAGCACGTGTACATGTTGGCCTAATTTTCCACATGGCGTTCTAATGGGTTGGCTTTGAGACAGGTGCTGATAAATTGCATTGCTACACACACATTTGTTCACAAGGAGTTAAATGCAAACAGGCAAGACTTACTACTACCACTATGGCCACATGGAGTTTCAGTGAAGGAGTAGTAAGCACGCTTCCACTGAAGGGGGGAGGGGGTGCAGCATAAAGACGTCAGCAGCTGCCGATTTCACAGCACGTAGTATGTACGTGTTTTTATGTGTGTCTGTGTGAGCACTGAAATTGCAAAATATTCTGCTGTGATTATATGAAATGTGCAGTATTGGCCATGTAAGAATCAGACCTGCTCGTGGCTTTTCAAAAATCACATGTTTTGCCCTAGTGCACTTATTAGTATTAGACCTGTAATGTGATGAAAAATCAATCTGTAAAACACCTACCACAATGTCATTTGCAGTGTAGCTTATCCAGAAGCCAACTTATTAGGGGTCTAAGCAGTATTAGCATTTGCTGGATCCCTGTTGTTTTTTTACATATTCTTGTGTTATTCTGTTAGTTTATCACTGTAGCACTTATGATGCTTAACCCTGTTTTGACTCACCCTACAGGACTGAAGACGTTGTGGTTTGGTGAAATAAAGAGGAACTGAAGTTTAAAAAAAAAAATAAAAAAAATCTAAGTACATATCGACTCTCCTGAGAATGGGGACGCTGGACAAGCACTGAATACAAACACTAAAGTGGAGGCACTCAGTAAAATTTAATTTCCTCTAAAGCAGATGATGTAGCATTGTGCAATTAGTCTCCCTTTTTGCCCATTTTTTTTACTACCTGTGTAAATATTATTTTTACAGATGTAGCACATAACTTTTCCCCCCAGTTTCACTTATGTAAAACTGTGGATTTCATTTGAAGAACTGCAGAACTTATATATAATGCTTCCAAAATGCTGTTGTGTTCTAAGATGTATTCTTTTTTTGGTTGATTTTTTTCCATTATATACATTTACATAAAAATCAGGTTTTAAAGATTCGCTATACATGCAAGGTGTTGTACATTCAGGGTCTATTTTTTAAAAGCAGGACATTTTATACTTTTTTTTTTGTAATAATGTTCATATTTGTTAAATGGTTCCCAAGGAAAATGTTGACTGGAGTATTCAAAAGTGAATTGGTTGAAACACAGGGTGAAAAATCTACAGTATTGTCAGTATTACCTGAACTACAGCCACTGGCTAACCTGTGGAAGTGTCATAGTTTATTTATGTGTATTTTTGTAAATTTATTGGAATGTCTGAGGTTTTTGCAAAATGACCTACTGATTATGTAGATTTTGTTTATTATAATAATAATTTAAGAATACTCCCTCAGACCTCTACCCCTTCTGAGCTGAACCTGCCCAATATGTTGTTAAAAATCTGACAGTTCTGAAGTGTCCATTTGTAAGGCACGTTTCTGTTGACATCAATGACACTGTAATGAATGCAAAAACATGCCACAAAATTGGGGGTGGGGCCAAAAGATATTTTAACTGCCTGTGTAATTTTTGTGAAACCTTGAAATGTACCTGTGTATATAACTTTGTAAAGACACTGAAAATGTTACTAACTTATTTATGTCAAATATTTCTTAAATTTGGGGAGGGGATTTGGTTTTGTTCATGGGTATCCAAAGTGGAGTTTAACAAGCTGTATCAGTTTGCAGACTGAGCCTAGTCATATTGGACGTGCGTGTTGTAATGTATTTCAAATGCAATCAAAAGAGAAACGGAATTAAATAATCTGATACTACGTGTCTATTGAGATTATTAAAGTGATTAATCTGTTCACATTTAGCTGTATTGATTGTGTGGAATAACTTGCTCAAGGAATAACAATTTTAATTGGGTTAACTGTCGGTGCAGTCTTGCAGTTAAAATCTACCTTTGGCACATTCATGCATGAAAAAATGCATTTCACAGTTTAATTGGTTTAGTGGTTGTTGAATGGCCGATGACATCAAAAATAACTTTGTAATCTACCCACACATAATCCTGCGACGTTAAAAGAGGACCGGCACTGCATCATAAGGAAAACCTGTAATGTTATTTCAGGCGGCACATTCCGTACTGTGTAAACTGTTACCGTATCGTGATCAACAACCAGTAGATGAACTCTCTCCACCCATTCCTTAAAACGATTCTCACCTATAACCATTTTTCTACTACAATTATATACAGCAATGCACGGTTGACCTCAGCGATCGATAGACCGTGAAATCCAGTAAATGTGAAGCATTTTCTATTTTGTGTCCTACGGCACACAGGAGGTGAACGTCAGCCGCTGATCAGCCAAGTAAATGTTTCATTTAATATATATACTAGTCCGGAGTTGTAATCCAGTGGTTTTACATGATTACGTTGCAGAAGCGTTCAAAGGAGGGAAACAAACAGATGCGAAGACCTCCGAGGCTTAAAGAATAATGAACATGCAGATTTGAATAATAGGAACCGATTTCAATACCGTCGCAGGTGTAGATACATGACGCTCAAACCATTGTATATGCGATTTATAACATTCTCCTTCAGTTTAACTCACGGACGCATCCTCGCGTACAGCTATACTGTAAATAAGCACGCGAAATTATCACCTAAACGAAGTGTCGCGGACGTAACTAGCGAGTCATTCAGCAACAGAAAAATACGGAAACGGCGTTTAGATCACATAACTAAGTAAACACTGTCGTAGAGTCTGATACCAAAGCTCTCAGTTAACGAAATCAAAGAAGATAAAAGTATCTCATCATAGTAACTTGATAGTAAGATCCTCTAAATGCCTTTTTATTTGCAACATTTACTAGCCTATAAATCGAGATGTCACTATAGCGGCTACCTATTAACAGTTAACTCTTCGAATGGGTTGCTGAAAATTGCTGGTCTGGGGCACTGCTTGTAATCAATCAGTTTTGTTAAATATACAATCATTTACATCGTTAAGGATTTTAAGTGTTACCATTTTAACATTTTAGACGTTAAAGATTTTCGCGGCCAATCGCACCACGTCCTGAAAACCACATTTCCTTTTTTGAATATTTCGGGGGAAACATACACATCAATTCGATTTTAGATTTAGAGGGCGTGCGATTTTTTTTTATACTTGCGTGTTTAGACTGTTATAAAAATCGCTTTCCCAATAATGGCGTGAAAAAGTTTTCGATTGCTCGCCCCCATTTACAGCGCAAAGAAGCGAGCAAGTCTTCAAAGAAAAACAGCGTGATTGACATGTGTTTCGTCCAATATGATCATAATAGATCAGATCGCCCGCCCCATGTAGACCGCCCTCTCGGTTCACAGAACCGATTGTCTTCGCAGTAATCCGGCTTCTCCGCAGACCTAGTTAGCTCTAATTTACATACTCTAAGTTTTTTTTCCCTTTTTCTTCCATTGCTGATGTTAGCAGAAAAAAACACAGGTGTTTCTTTCCAAGTTGAAAGAAAATTAGTGTAATCAAAACATTTGACCAGTATTTCATGATTTGCGGAGAAAGGGGGTGCTAAATGGAAGAGATAAGATTTACGCCGCGGCCCACTTTCAGACGCCCGCCTGCATGATGAAATCCCCTTTCAGGTTGCACAATTCACTTTTTTAAAATTCTGCAACGTGATCTTTTTTTTTTTGTAGAACTAGGCTGAATGATAGCCGCGCATGAACAACACTCTCTAGTTCACAGGAACTCAGTCTGACATTTGATTAGTTACAGTCCCAAATAAACTACTGCAGTGTATTTCAGTTTTATTTTTAACACAGGGCTTTTTAGTTATACGTTTAAGTGACACTTAAAAGTATCCTAAAGTTCCTACTTCACATTCAAAAATTGTGTATGAACAACGTATGAAAAATAATAAAAGTGCTCCGATTTGTTTTGTGATTCTTATTTTGTAAGCATTTGTCGCAGTCCTTTCTAAACCACTATGTAATGTGCCCTAAAATGGTCAAATATGTTGACCAGCAAGTCACGCTGACAAATTCTTACATATATACAGTGGTACCTCGGTTCTCTAACTCATTAGAACTCGAATTTCTTGAAAGTCGAACAAACCAGTTTGACCTAGAACTTGATCTGAACATCATAAGTCGAACCGTGAACGCCGACCTAATATAATAAATTGTATGCGCCAGGAAATGAGTCATACTACAATGCAATTCTTACTTGAATGCCTTCTTCACAGACTGGACGATTAACCAAATAAAGCAGCGCGACATTACAGTAACTAACAATAAATAAACCACTAACTTACGTGTACTATTACAGCATTTATGTCATTTATTTAAACTTTATTTTACCAGGTAAATTAACTGAAAACCAGTTCTCACTGATTTACGTGATATTCGGGAGAAATGACAGATTACGCATCTGAACTGCCTGGGATACAAACGTCATGCGTGTAACTAAACTCTTCAGCCAATAAGGGCAAAGGTGTATCGTCACGGAGGCGGTTCCAGTTTGTGGGTGAGAGGTCGCAATGCATCTAACCGTAATGCATTGCGTCAGGATCAGAATGCGTTGCTTCAAGCCAGCGCTTTAAGCAAGTCGAATGCACCCAATGACCGGACTGGGGAAACAAACTGAAACGCGGACTTAATACAGAGGACTAATGACAACAACCAGAAACAGCTGATCACATGGGGGTCCCACACGAGGTTAACGAGGGGGCGTGGCACACGGAAGGAGCGGACGATCGGGGCAGGATAGGGGTAATGTTGGGATAAGATCTTTATCGTTTTGGAAGCCATTAAGAAAAAAATGCTCTTCTTCTTTTATCCTGTTCATTTTGTGTTTAAATGCTAAAAAAAAACATATTTAGGTGTAATTTTGGGAGGCCGGGAACCAATTAATTGGTTTTCCATTATTTCTTATGGGAAAAATTCGATCAGAACTCGAACTTTTTAGGATTCGATCCGGAGTCCAGAACGGATTAAGTTCGAGAACCGAGGTACCACTGTATTACAATCAGCATTCTAACATAGCATCAAACATGCTTTAGACAAGATGTGTAAATAATAAATTCATCAAACAAGACTGACATTTGGGGCAGCATGTGGCTCAGTGGGCTAAGCCGTGTGCCTGTCAGACCCCTGGGCGCCGCTTGACCTACATAGGGCAAGTTGAGGGAGGCATAAAAAAGAATTTCCCCACAGGGATTAATAAAGTGTAAATTATTTAAAAAAAAACAGATAATTCACTAAACTTAAACAGTGAATAGACCAGTGACTGAGGCGTCAGTGCTGTCACTCTAGCTCTACACTAGAGTGCTGATGTTCAGGGAGTCCCCATGCCTGTGTTCCCGCCTGTCTCTCCCTCTTTCTCATGCTGCTATACCCAGATCTGCCGGAGCCTAGACGAATATTGCACTCGATCATTTTGCTTGCACTGCCTCTAGGTTTCCTCAACTTTGACTAATACACAATTTTTTTCTTACTCCCTCCCTCACCCCTTCTGGGGTGTGCTCCCTGGAGCACAATGTCGTTGAAGAATTTATGCCTCTGCTGCCTACAAGACAATTACCTCCACCACCGGCAACTACCCTCCAACCACGTGCCTGCACCGGTTGGCCACTGCATTGAAACATATATTTCAACCCCTGTATTAGCTTAGTCATATCATCTTGCCTGTATTAGCTTAGTCATTTCATCTTGTTTGTTTGACTCATCTGCCGGCCCCTGGAGGATGGGCTCCCCCCTTTGGGTCTGGTTCCTCCCAAGGTTTCTTCCTCTTAGGAAGTTTTTCCTTGCCACCGTTGCCTTTGGCTTACTCAATGGGGGGTCCTTACGAGGCAGAAATGTAAAGCGCATTGAGACAATGTAATGTTGTGATAATGCGCTATATAAATAAAATTGAATTGAATTGAATTGATGGAAGTTTGGTTTCCATGAAAAGGCCAAGGATGTGTTATAAACAGTAACACCAATGTCTTCTGCTTTAAATAATCTATATTTGATTTGCTAAAATTTTCAGGATGGCACTGGGTGTCTGAAGGGCTGAAGAGCTGCTTCGAATAAATGTGTATAGTTTAGAATTTAACTAGAAATGGATATAATTGTGGAGTGATTCATCAATGAACATCTTGCCTTTCTGCTCAGGGGTGAGAGTAAAAGTTATGTCTCATTGTATGCTTTTTAACAGGACTGTGTTAGCTGGGCAGGTTTTAGCTATGTCAGGGCTTGAGGGATTATGTTTTTGGGCTGTAAGAGTATCAGCAAAAGAGGTAAAGTGAACTTTCACAAAGAATCTGAATGTTATCCAGACCAGCAGCCTAGCATTTAAAAGCATGTTGTGAGGATGTGTATATTTTGCAAAAACTTAGATTTACTTTTACAGCCATATGTTTATTTGTTACCGGGTAAGTCTTCAGCACAGAATTATTATTTAGCTGATTTATCCAAAATGGCATGCAGTCTTATGTATTATATATTTTTTCAAGTTGAATCAAATCTCAAACTGAAGGATAGAATGGCTGATTCCTTATGTATTAATATATTTTGTTCAAGTTAAATCAAATCTCAAACTGAAGGATAGAACGGCTGTCCCCCCCCTCCCCCAAAAGCTAACTCCAGGACAACCCTTTCATAACCCATACTTGTCAATCATTGCCGACTGGCCGCAGGGAGGCTAGCTCCCCTGTGAGTTGGAGGAAAGATGATAACTGGGTGAGCAAGGGTGAGCAAGGCGCATCTGTGACCTGGGCACTGGCGAGGTGTTGAAATATCAACAGGAGTGAATCAAGCTACCCAAACTACAATGTGAAGCCCTCTGATCATGTGATCTAAGATAAAGACTAGTCAAAATGGAAAC